ATTTATTAGTAAAAATGAATTATTTAAACAAAAATACACCAATATTCAAGCAAATAATATATTTTCTTTACATTTTTAACAAATTTTTGGTTGTAATAGTCAAATATTTGTGTGGAAATGCATTTTTGTATAAAAAGATATACATAAGACAAAATCAAAGAAACAAATTACAACGTTTAAAATAAAAAAATCAACTTGAAAAATTGTATATTTTCAATTACAACATTTTTTATTTGTTCTTTTAATATTTTTTAAGTATGGTATTAAATGTTTCCTTTGGTATAACAAAATAATTTAAATCAGTGAATTGGAATGGAACTATTATATAAATCAATTATCACAAAATATGGTGGCCATCTTGGACGCCATCTTGGATAAAAATGTTGTGACACAGGTAAGGTGAGTGCAACATGCAGTTTCTACATATCCTAACGTTTAATTTGGTATATAGAAACCCTTGTTTACAGACATAGACCGGTATGTCCAAGAAAGAGACAAGATATCCCCATTTGTTTGCAGCATTAATAGGTGTTTCCTTCCTAGTCACTGTTCGTGCCTGAAACAATGCATGCATGGGCACAATGATATTTTCAATGTGGATTTGCAAACAAACAAAACAATAAGAACTGTATTCAATAAAAAAATCAGTCCTTGTAAATCAAGATTGACAGCTGTTGGGTAATTTTTTGTAGTGCAGAAATGCTGTCAACACACGGATTATCTGTCCACAGTGCTCAGTTGTTGGAACTTTCATTATGAAGAGATTTAGATCTTGCAATGCCCAGAATTGGAACCTGTTACTATAGTGTTAAGTTCTTAGGTGCTTGGCGCGGGGAAGGAGTTGGGTTGATTGAGGGCAAAATGTAAGATGGTTGACCCCCAAGTATTTTATGCTTTTGTTTCAATCATGATTTTCTTTGATTATGCATCTTTGCACTAGTATTTCTTCTTTAGGTGACTGTCTTTGAAGCATTTTAGGACTGCGATAGAGTTAAGAAATATTTAGACAATCTGCTTAATAAATTGACTTAGGAGCTATTGCGCACATGTATACTCACGTCGGCATCACACTTAGTTACCCCGACATCACACTTAGTTACGTGCAAGTTGGTATCTCCAAAACTACTGAAGGTTATACAAACTTATCTAAGAGCATATATAGGTCACTGTTTAACACCCATAACTCTGTCATGGATTTCGACAGAATCATGGCTCTTTTTGAACTTCAAAATATTTTCATTATCCAGGCTTTTGTTTTACCATCAAGTACTCAAAAAAGATGGACACACTGTCTTACCACCAGCTCTTGTTACCTTATATTATCGATCCCTTGCTGAGAAAAAAAGAGAAAAAAGTGATCAATTAGAAAGTTGACTCAATGTAACACATGCACAACTCTTATTATTGAAGTCACACAATACTTAATCACTGAACTGTATTAATTAAAACTATAATAATTATGTTTTTTTAAAAAGGTCTAAGAAGGCCTTTATCTAAGAATGGTATGTTTTTATATAGTCTTCTTAAACTTATCAGTATTTAAGAAGAAGAATATACTAGCCTTGCTTTGAATTCGGAACAGTTCATAATTTAATTTAAGGTATATCATAAATTACATTCTTGTGTAAAGGAAGGTAACTCGAAACCAAGATAGCTTTATTATATTCTAAGATCATCATAAGTTAAAATTAAAACATGTATTGTTTTCAGATCGTCTAAACTATGCTTTTATGTATCTATATCATACCTGTCTATTTTTCATTAAATCACAGCCAACTTCAGATATTATCATCAAACGTAAATAAATATAATTATGAACATTCACATTGACCAGTGTCATGAATGTCTGAGCCTCCGAGGTCCGTAGTCTGAAACTGTCCATTAATGGTAAGTAAAATTTTCAGAGCTCCTAAAGGGCTATCAAATGAATTAGAGGTAATTTTACAATTAACGTATTTTGAAACTTGCACAGATAAAAGAGCATCAGTTATATATATTTGTAACATACCCATTTTAATAAGTATTTTTTTTAGATTTATATTAGTGAAATGAATATCCATTACATATAGTTTTATATAATACCTTAAGCTTTTTGGCGGGTGTTTCGTTAGGCTCGTGCATGCACTGGATTGATTTTCACGTACAGAAAAACATACATGTACATAGGGGCAGAAGAAGTAAACGTGCCTGACCCCATCGTCGGATACCCACGGCCGAACCATTAACTATCAATTATTAATTTTAGCTGTATAAATATAGGCGTTTTTTCCTGTTTTATAGTATCTTATCATCTATGCTAACTTTATAGACAAAAATAAAAATATGCCAGTAGTTTTAGATATTTTGTGCTCTTAGTTATTATGTTTCTGGTTTGTTGTAGTCATAATCTTATCTGTGATTTTTCATGATTATAACCTTTGTCTTAACTCATATATATGTAGTCCCTATTTAATTTATTTATACATTTGTATTAACTTTATGAAATGAAACTTCATTTGTTAAACCGTTAATTTTTTTATGTATAGTTATGCATATGTAAATGTTATGCCATCGTCGGGTACCCACGGCCGAACCATTAACATTACGTTATGTGGGTGTCAATATGATGTTGCAAAAAAAATTCTTTTCTTTATAATTCCACGATCTAAACAAAATAATGTTTTACTTGTTTGCCACATAGAATTTATGTCAGAATTTGTGTTTTTACAGACTTTGTTTGTTTATTTTTTGAAAAGAAATTAATTTTGCAGTGCGTACCATTATTGACACATTTGCGGGAGATTTATTTAAATGCGGGAAAATGACGTAGGACTCGTCACCAATTGTTGATTGGATACAAAACAAGTCGCTCAGCCAATGAAATTGAGTACATTCATCAGGAGTAATAATTCACGTGAAACGCGAGGCGCTCAGTTTAACGGTCATAAAGAACAGTGAGGAGCTGAATTAAAAGATCAAAATTCAAAATGCGTGAAATCGTGCATATGCAAGCTGGGCAGTGCGGCAACCAAATAGGTGCCAAGGTACACATAGTTTTGTATTTTTTTATCCTGGGATTTATTAATAGTTTTAAATAAATGCGAATTTAATTCCATCTTAGCTTAAATGCTCAGAAGAAGGTAAAGGTAGGTCAGAAGAAGGTAAAGGTAGGTAATCCCCCGCCCCCCCCCCCCCCCAATACTTAACCTTCGATTTATGATCACATAACACGTTGATGTAATTTACTCAGATGAAAATTGACACTTGGAACATTTCAACATAAAATTTCGCTTCAAAAGTCGTTGAAACCGGATCAAAAGATGTGAAATTTATGTCTCGTATACCATTTAAAATGTCTCTTAAATTTTCCACACAAGTTAGTGGTGTGGGCCCCAGTCTCTTGATTTGGGGAAAAATAACCGTGGGAATTAAAGGAGATGGTATAAAAAACAGATTTTTGGGAAATCTTCATGATTTTAATGGTTAAATTTGTTGAATTTTACAGGCACAGACCACAGCCGCTTGGGGTCAGATCCTGCCCCCCCCTCCCCCCACCAACGTGATACGCCCCTGTAAACACTTATCAAAAATATTGTAATATTTCAACACGGATTTGACATCTGTTACATCAATAAACTGGTTTTCAAACAATTTTTACATATATTTCAAAATTAATGTTATAAATACAGTGACAGGGAAAGGATTTTTTTTATGAGACAATATGTCTCATGTTCCTGAAAAAGTTTGAGACATTTTGGAAAATTTTGAGACATTTATGATAAGATAAAGATAAGATAAGATAAGTTTTATTTCAAGTCGGCAAGTTTTCAACAGTACAACTAACACTGAAACTCTAACACTTATCTAAATTGTGTTTTATTTCATTTCAGTTTTGGGAAGTTATCTCAGATGAACACGGTATTGATCCCACTGGTACATACCACGGAGACTCAGACTTACAATTAGAGAGAATAAATGTGTACTATAATGAAGCTACAGGTGGTAAATATGTTCCTCGTGCTATATTGGTTGATTTGGAACCAGGTACAATGGACTCTGTCAGATCTGGACCTTTTGGACAAATTTTTCGACCAGACAATTTTGTCTTTGGTCAAAGTGGTGCAGGAAATAACTGGGCAAAAGGACATTACACAGAAGGTGCTGAATTAGTAGACTCTGTATTAGATGTTGTAAGAAAAGAGGCTGAGAGTTGTGACTGTCTTCAGGGATTCCAACTTACACATTCACTTGGTGGTGGTACCGGCTCCGGTATGGGAACACTTTTAATCAGCAAAATCCGTGAAGAATACCCTGACAGAATCATGAACACATTCTCAGTTGTGCCATCTCCAAAGGTATTATTCAAATTAAATGCTTTGTCATGCACCTCTTTTCAAGCACTCTTTACCAGAACTTTAATGAAAAACTTTTTGATATTAAATATAATCATACAAAAAGCTTTTCAAAGTAGAAAATAAGATATTAAAAATGACTGAATTCTATTAATCTATGATGATTACAAATTGAAATTGAAAGTATTTTAAGAGTGTTATTGTACAGTTCATGTTTTATATTCTAGGTATCAGACACTGTAGTTGAACCATACAATGCCACCCTCTCAGTCCACCAGCTTGTTGAGAACACAGATGAGACATATTGTATTGACAATGAGGCTTTGTACGATATTTGCTTCAGAACATTAAAGCTCACCACGCCAACTTACGGTGACTTGAACCATCTCGTCTCTGCCACTATGTCTGGAGTAACCACTTGCCTCCGTTTCCCAGGTCAGTTGAATGCAGATCTCCGTAAACTGGCTGTCAACATGGTTCCCTTCCCACGTCTCCACTTCTTCATGCCAGGATTTGCTCCCCTGACCTCTCGTGGAAGCCAGCAATACAGAGCTCTCACTGTACCAGAACTTACTCAGCAGATGTTTGATGCCAAAAACATGATGGCTGCCTGCGATCCCAGACATGGAAGATACCTCACTGTTGCAGCAATGTTCCGTGGCCGAATGTCCATGAAGGAGGCAAGAATTAGTTATCAAAATAACAGTTCTTTCCCAATATTAAACAAACTATGAACATGAATTTTGTGGATGTTTTAAGTTTTTCAGCTTTTTTATATAGACAAGTAACTTAAATTGATAACATTTAACTTTCCCATTTAAAAGCTGTTCTGTTTTTAGCTCACCTGTCACAAAGTGACATGGTGAGCTTTTGTGATCGCTTTTTGTCCGTGCGTCGTCCGTCCGTAAACTTTTACTTTAAACAACATCTCATAAACTCCTTAGCCAATTTCATCCAAACTTCACTGGAATGTTTCTTTGATAGTCAACTTTAAAAATTGTTCAAAGAATTTAATTGAAAGCAGAAAACTGGTTGCCATGGCAACCGAAAGAAAAATTTTAAAATATTTTTTAGAAAACTGAAAGTGCTAGAGCTTAAATATTTGGCATGAAACATCATCTAGTCGGTGTCTACCAAGTTTATTCAAATTAATGCCCTGGGGTAAAAATTGGCTCCGCCCCAGGGGGGGTCATTGTTTTTCCCTTTATGTATAGTAAAAACTTTGAAATCTTTTAAAAACCCCAAAGAGCTAGAGCTAAGTTATTTATCATGAACATCTTCTAATGGGTGTCTACCAAGTTTGTTCAAATAAAAGCCCTGTGGTAAAAATTGGCCCCATCCCAACTTTCAAAATCTTTTAAAAACCCCAAAGAGCTAGAGCTAAGATATTTATCATGAAACATCTAATGGGTGTCTACCAAGTTTGTTCAAATAAAAGCCCCTGGTTTAAAATTGGCCTTGGCACAGGGGCCTATATACAGGTGAGCAATTTCAGGGCCATCATGGCCCTCTTGTTTAATTTCATTCCTTTAGCTGTGTTAAATAATTTGTTTTTTCTCTACAGGTTGATGAACAAATGTTGAATGTTCAAAACAAGAACAGCAGCTACTTTGTGGAATGGATCCCCAACAACGTCAAGACAGCTGTCTGTGACATCCCACCAAGGGGTTTGAAAATGTCTGCAACTTTTGTTGGTAACAGCACTGCCATCCAGGAACTGTTCAAGCGTATCTCTGAACAGTTTACTGCTATGTTCCGTCGTAAGGCTTTCTTGCATTGGTACACTGGTGAGGGTATGGATGAGATGGAATTTACTGAAGCAGAGTCCAACATGAACGACTTGGTCTCTGAATACCAGCAGTACCAGGTAGGAATTATTATAATTCTTTCTACTTTATTTTTTAGCTAAAGGAATGTTATATCCGAGTCTCTGCCAGTGCCTAAAATAATGTTTTCTAGCTCTAGGTTCTGAACCAATTGAGCTGAAAGTTTAACAGTACATATGATTTTAAAGTCCATAATGTGATGTTTACTATTACCGTTTACAAGTATTAAATTTAATTTATGAATATTTCAAGAACTACAGTTACAGGGCTTTTTTTCACAGTTTGGGGAAGCAGCCCAGCCCTTAATTTTGGGGAAAAATTACATGGTATATTTGCAAAAGGGGAAGAAAAAACTTAATGTAAATTCAATTTTTGGGGAAAACTGCATGATTTTAAAGAAATTTTCTTTGGGGAAGCAGCCCTATACCGGCCCCTGTTATAGAAGGTAAAAAGGCCCTGAGTTATTAACTTCAGCTTGTGTAGAATGGGTAGGTAGGACTAGGTAAAATATTTTTAAATTGAAACAAAAGTTTTTGTTAGTTTAGCAAGAAGATTTTTTGTGGTAGCAGTGATTTTTGTTGGCAAGTAGTTGGAAGGGAAACAATATTTTATTTGAGCCCTGTTCTTTTTGAAGATGATGGCATTTATTGGTAAATATCTGCCAAAAACTTGTAACTGAATAATCGTCTGGTTCACTGTTGCATATTCTGATATCAGATTGTAATAATTTTGACAAACTAAACTCAAATAATGTACTTGTCTGTATTTTTATATTGTATTAATATATAATTTGCAGGATGCCACAGCAGAAGAAGAGGGCGAGTTTGATGAAGAGGAGGAAGATGGTGAAATGGCCTAAATTAACATTCCATCATATTTAGTGTAGAAACATCTTTGAATATATTTATTTTTGGACTAAGACCCTTTCAGTATTTTTGGAAAATTTCAGGACATTAAGAATTCCAACAATATTTTTGTGTATTTTTAAAATTTAGATATATTTTAACTTGTAAAACATTCTTAAATTATGTTATGTCTCAGGAAATTAATAAAAATCAGTATTATGATTTTGTTTTGTTTTTGCAGATTTTTCTGTCATGAAGTATTGCACTGCTTCCTATTTTGTTGTATAACCTCAGAAACGTATTACATTAGCAATAGTGGTATTTCTCAAAAGATATAGATATACATTTTAGCTTGACAATTTAAAAAAAAATGGGGACAGCTATTGTACTCGCCCAAGTGTCTGTGTCAAATTTTGTTGAGTTTTTGCTTGCAAGTTTGTTATCTCCAAATCTACTGAAGGAAATGTGCTGAAACTATAACTATCCAACACCCATAACTCAACAGATTTTGGCAAAATTATGGCCCTTTTTGAACTGAGAATATTCTACAGTATATTATCATAATCGAGGCTCTTGTTTTTACTGTCAAGCACACTCTCATACTGATGTCTTTTTTTCCATGTAGTCTACCTGTTGAGTGTCTCTGCAGAATGTAGTTCTTTAATTTATGTCACCTGCACTAAGATTGCCTCAAAAAAGAGCATGCCTCGAGATTCATGCCAACTTTATGAAAATGTATTTAAAAGTAACAAAAGCAAATTTGCAGTCATATTTACTGTCTTGGATTGACTAAGTAGCTCTGGAGACCATAAACACCAGTGTTTGAAATTATCAGTAGTCTGATAGTTTTCTCCTTGTGCTACCAATATTTAGTAGAAACGAGCCCGACCGGGCTACTTACTGCATTTTTTAGAGGCACTATAAACAACTATTCGGAACAAATGACTCGTTGCTTTGCCCAAGTAGGTGTGTCGATTGTCTTGTTAATTGATCAAATTCTGCAGAGTACACTATTTATAGGAGAGATTTGAGCAGATGTTAGAATATCATTCCTTCGGTTATAGTTCAAGCATGCTTGGTAATCAAAATGGCCATTATTGAATTCCTAAATCATATCTGTCAGAAATATTTCGTCCGCATGATGTTGAGGGTCATACCAGTACCATATACAGACCACATGTTGACTTGGATTCACATACAGGAGTAAAAAGGTCAATGTTAATGACATTTAATCAGTGTTTGAAATTAGCAGTAGTCCTATAGCCCCTGACTAACTAGTACTAAATTCCTCCTCGGGCTACCAGCTTTTCACAGTAACAAGCCTGTCCAGGCTACTGTATTTTCATAGGCAATATAAATTAAACAACTGTTTTGAACAAATAAATCGTGCTAGTGAAATGTCTTGTGGGCTAGTGAATATTCCAATCTGGTAGTCAGACCAGCCTAGTGGTTTCAAATCCGAATTTCTTACACTGTTTAATTGTGCAGTTATGTATACGATACATACTGTGAAATCAAATTTCCCTTCAGAACAAATTTCGTGTAATCATCATTTTTGGATTTCAGCTGCATCTCCAAATTTTGATAAAAGCTTTCACAGTCATGTATTTAAAAAAGATTAAATTTTTACGGCTGTCTTATACTTGCATATTAATTGTAGCGCATAAAACGTCGACATGAGGCCAGAAAAACTATATAATAAGGGGCTCACAATAACCTTGAGATCTGAAAATAAGGGAATTGGTATTCACATAGATTTCAGATCTGTAATCACTCCAGCCATCAGTATTCACATAGGTTTCAAATCTGTAATCACTTCAGCCATCAGTTTTCATTACCAAAAGACCTTAAAATTTAATTATTCTGCTCTATTACATATACATTCTATCAATTAGCAAACACATTCGACGGGGGGATGGCCATTTTAACATGGCTCTTGTTCATCTCTTTACACCAATTTATATACAATAATGAAAGGAAAATGTAAGAATCTGCGGGAAAAAAACGATATTTGTCTTATTTTGCGATCATAATTTCTGCGAGTATCTAGAGGTACTGCTCCAACACCAGGGGCGTAGCTAGCGTTACGCACGTGCGTAATATTGATCCAGGATAACGAAAATTCGAATATACTAGAAACGGTGAGAAAACTAAAGGGTGAGGGTGGTGTTGGAGGGTTTAGAGGCATGATTCCAAAATCTATTTACCTTTAATTATATCATTGATTCTAATATAAATGTAGATCTTCGAAGAATTTAGGCAATAAGTTCCAAAAATTTTATCACATGAAGTGTATTAATCCATAAAGAACTATATGAAGAATAATACGGTTTTACGGGGCCAATATACTTCGCCCTACACTCGGAACGAGTTGATTTCTGTATGTCAAAACAATTGTGGAGACCTGCAACGCCACTCCATTCGTTGGCATCATCGCCAACGAGGCCACGGATGATATAAACTAAACTAAATAAACTAAAAGAAACGTATATTAGTTGTCATTATTTAAAAAAATCTTAAACTCGTCAAAGGTTTGTAACTTTTTCTTTAACTCGTTTTACATCATATTTTTACATCAAATTTGGTATCACATGACAACTCATATGAGATCCTATAAATGTATATATCATAGTACCTGTAATAAAACAATAATAATCTTATGTTTTATTATAATGGCATTATGTAAAGTCACCTCTCTTATGAATTAAAAAAAACAAATAACGAAAATTTACTGCTTAACCAAATTGTATATATGATAGATGTTTGATTGAATATGCTATATAGCACACTGAAAAATGAAAAATTGCATTATTTTCACAAAAGCAAAGCACACTTTTCAGTGTGATATATAGCATATTAAAAATTTAGCTCAAAATAAATCAGTTTTCTTGCCGTGTGCCTAATAAGTAAATGACAGCCATGTACAAACGTTTTCATCAAAGCACCAAGAAACAGATGATATCAGATGTTCGAATGCTACGCGAACATTGAGCAAACAAAAGTACATGTCGTTTAAGATAATAATCATCGCTACATTGTACCTGATAACATTTTTAGATTTTAGCTAGTAACGATATTTAAATTGAGAAAAAATCTAAAAATGAAGAAAACACATTTTTTTCTGTCATTTTATAACACGGTGCGAAACTTCACTGTTGCAGGCTCCGTCCACACTAACGCCGAAAAAATTCAGGGGAGATCACTGCGTAAAGATGGTCAAATGACAGGCGCATTAATTTTCAAGCAAAATAATTCCCGAATGGTCGAAGATTTCTACTATTGTTTTATCCTTTATAGATATACATGCTTATAATAAGCTCCATAATTATTAACATCTGTGTTAAACAACAGTTAGCTTCGAAATAATAAGGGTTACAAACCCTAATTTAGAATAATATGGTTTTCTTCAGGCCTTTTACATATAACTTCACCGTGGCCGAGGGGTCTGGAGTTCAAATCCAGGAAGGCAACTCTTTTTTTCAAATTGTTTAAATCAAATAAACATTGAATTCAATACCAGTGTTGCAATTAGTCTTAAAGTCAATTAACTACAATTAAAATGCTGGAAAGCACTGGTGGCACTATACAAAAACAAATTGGTTTATAATCTCACAACCTTCACCTATCTGACATTCTGAGACCCAAAAAAATTCAGCGCCTTCTGTCCTTTGATCATTTTATTTGCTGACTAGTGAAAGCGTACACGTCATTTGTTTGCGTCTGTTTATGCAATGTATTTCCTTATATATAATACCTTGAAATATTACTATACGATCTAGCAATTATATTTAAGATGTTCTCTAAATCAAGTCGCATATTAACACAAGTCATATTATTACATAAAAAGTTCTTTATGATCATATTTCATTCCTTGACTTAAATTTGTTATTTTATGGACCTCAAATGGACATGGAAATGCTTAATTAAAACATCTCTAAATGGTGAAAATCGAGGAGCTGCGTGGGGCTTAGCCGCTGGACCCCTACCAGGGCTTGCCTGGACCTGCAGGGGGGCTATAGCGGCCTTGCGTGAACATGCGTAACATCATTTTCGGCTAGCTAACGACCCCTGAGCACTGCTTTAAATCCTAAAATAAGACTGTATTATTTAAGTTAACGACTTTACATATTTTTGCTGCAAAAAGTTTTTTGTTGCCATTTTTTTCGGAACTAGACTGCTTGTCACTAAAATTAGGTTTAATGTAGCAAAGGGGGCTGGAAGCACTGCACAAGATGTTGGCAATTGCAGACTCTAGCTGTGTTATATTGCTTACTTTGTGAATTAAAGTGGCATTAATGAAATACGCAAATATAATTGTATTCGGCTTCACAAACTAACAAAGTGCTTTGTTATATTCCTAAATGCTTTACTGCTAAAGAGTAGCCACAAAAGGGATCACTTCTCCCCGTCATACTGTCTGTCGTCACAAAACTTGCCCAGATTACTCAAGAATATCATCGGCTTGCAATTTCATCCAGACTATACAGGAATTATCATTACAAGTCTAGTTGTACATTTGTGGGCATTTCCCAGTTCAATAATTTTTGTCAGAGTTATAGGCACTTAATGATTTTTATTTTTAAAGTTACTTCTGTTAAACTACAAATGCAATATGAATGAAACTATAAGATTGATTGGTATATCAAGTACTTTGGCATAAAGGTTTTTACACATTTAAAGTCTTTCTTTCTTGAAACTACTATGCTTAAGAGTTAAGATATTTGACATGTATCATTGCCTTGTTCACCTCGGCAAAAACTGATATTAATCAACCCTTAGGTCAATGATGGCCCTACCCTGGGTTCTCTTAGTTGTGTGAAACTACAAAACCCAGGGTTTAGATATTTGGCAATTGTAGCATCAATTTGTAGATTTATACAAAAGTTATATTAATCATGACCCTGAGGTCAAAATTGGCCTTGCCTCATGTAGACTAACGTATAGGACACCAAATTATTGTATTGGTATATATATTGCTAGTAGAACCTTAAATAAAGTTTTATGAACTG